TAAATACACACCTCCTCAGTGTTCTTCCTTTGGATTTATAACCCAAACATGAATGCCTAGTCTTGAACTGAACTAACTAACCTGTCTGAAGAGAGTAATATCAGAGTCCAGGAACCAAGTGAAGGACAGTGACCACGCTGGTAGGGTCACAGTATAGCCTGACAGCATCCTTGAATCAGAAGCATGGTAGTTTGCATAATCTTTTTGTTTGTTTCTCAGCCTACTAACATGCTCAAACTTCTCTGCCAGCCAACATTAATTTTCCTACATCTTGTTTGCCTGTTCTCAAAATGCCACCTATTCCTTCTTTCCATTCTCTACTCAATTTCTTGAAAAAATAACCTGCGGGAAATGCGTCCACATATTCACTCCCATTTACTATTTATTCTCCTGCAGTGCTGCTACTGCATTTATTGCTCTGGGGAAATTGCTCTCTTAAAAGTCTGATTGGCTCCAAACCTATTGAATCAGACTTCTTTTTTCTTGTCCTTTCCTTATTGGCTACCCTATTCTTGAAGGTCAATGTGCTCTTTCTTCCATGACTCTTTCTGAATATGTCATACTGATCCTCTCGCCAGTGTCCATACCTTAAACATCGATGTTCCTTAGATCCCATATTGGCCTCTTGCCCACTTGTTCTCTCTCTCATAGTCTGTTTCATTTATTAAACATAATGGAACACCTCCATTAATCACACTGCATTAACATGCTAATGAGTTGTATCAGTCACATGGCTCTAACTCACCCTAATGGTTACATATCCATTTTAAGTTCTAAGCTATTTTCTGAGCTTATATCAAAATTGCTGACTTCCAGTTGGTCACCTTGGTTTGGATTTCTCCCAGGCACCGTATCAGCATATCCAGAAGAGAAAGACCTACTATCTTCCCTGCTGTCCCTCCAAACTTGTTATTCCTTATTGTAGGTACTTCATGGAACTACAGACATGCAAGATTTATGTAACCACTGGTTTTATTGGTTGGAGGGGTTTTTAAATTTAGCTTCATCATTCTTGTTAACAGCTGGTTATTTAAGCTTAGGCTTGGAAGGATATAGTGAGTTTATATTACATCTCTACAGCCAGGAAATTGTTTTGCTTATCCAAAACAACCTGTTTTAAAGCTTGTACTGTTCTGACAAGAGTTCAGGAAGAGTTTAAGTTACAGGAGAAACTTATACAAAGAAAAGTATATTTGGTGTTTATAGTTTAATTTCCTTTCTCAAAAACCATATTGTTCCTTTTTTGCTATAGGAATGCACATCTGAAACTAAAAATGTAATTTTTTTTTTTTTTTTTTTTTTTTGGTACTCAGGATTGAACCCAAGGGCACTTTACTGCTGAACTATGTCACAGTCCTTTTTTATTTTTATTAGGTTCTTGCTCAGTTGCTATGAGTCTCACTAAATTGCTCAGGTTGGCTTTGAATTTACAATCCTCCTGTCTCAGCTCCCTGAGTCCCTAGGATTTCAGGCATGTACCACCATGCCAGGTTTTATTCAGCATTTAAATAGCTTTGTAGATTTTATTTATTTTTTTTCCTTTAATTTTTATTGTTGGTTGTTCAAAACATTACATAGTTCTTGACATATCATATTTCACACTTTCATTCAAGTGGGTTATGAACTCCCATTTTTACCCCGTATACAGATTGCAGCATCACATCGGTTACACATCCACTGTTTTACATATTGCTATACTAGTGTCTGTTGTATTCTGCTGCCTTTCCTATCCTCTACTATCCCCCATCCCCTCTGCTCCCATCTTCTCTCTCTACCCCATCTACTGTAATTCATTTCTCCCCCTTGTTTTTTTTTCCCCTTTCCCCTCACTTCCTCTTGTATGTAATTTTGTATAACCATGAGGGTCTCCTTCCATTTCCATGCAATTTCCCTTCTCTTTCCTTTTCCCTCCCAACTCTCACCCCTGTTTAATGTTAATCTTCTTCTCATGCTCTTCCTCCCAACTCTGTTCTTAGTTACTCTCCTTATATCAAAGAAAACATTTGGCATTTGTTTTTTAGGGATTGGCTAGCTTCACTTAGCATAATCTGTTCTAATGCCATCCATTTCCCTGCAAATTCTATGATTTTGTCATTTTTTTAATGCAGAGTAATACTCCATTGTGTATAACTGCCACATTTTTTTTTATCCATTCATCTATTGAAGGGCATCTAGGTTGGTTCCACAGTCTTGCTATTGTGAATTCAGCTGCTATGAACATCGATGTAGCAGTGTCCCTGTAGCATGCTCTTTTTAGGTCTTTAGGGAATAGACCGAGAAGGGGAATAGCTGGGTCAAATGGTGGTTCCATTCCCAGCGTTCCAAGAAATCTCCATACTGCTTCCAAATTGGCCGCACCAATTTGCAGTCCCACCAGCAATGTACAAGTGTACCCTTTTCCCCACATCCTCGCCAGCACTTGTTGTTGTTTGACTTCATAATGGCTGCCAATCTTACTGGAGTGAGATGGTATCTTAGGGTGGTTTTGATTTGCATTTCTCTGACTGCTAGAGATGGTGAGCATTTTTTCATGTACTTGTTGATTGATTGTATGTCCTCCTCTGAGAAGTGTCTGTTCAGGTCCTTGGCCTGGATATTAGGGCTCTATCTGAAGTGTGAGGAGTAAAGATTTGTTCCCAGGGTGTAGGCTCCCTATTTACCTCTCTTATTGTTTCTTTTGCTGAGAAAAAACTTTTTAGTTTGAGGAAGTCCCATTTGTTGATTCTAGTTATTAACTCTTGTGCTATGGGTGTCCTATTGAGGAATTTGGAGCCTGACCCCACAGTATGTAGATCGTAGCCAACTTTTTCTTGTATCAGATGCCGTGTCTCTGATTTGATATCAAGCTCCTTGATCCATTTTGAGTTAACTTTTGTGCATGGTGAGAGAAAGGGATTCAGTTTCATTTTGTTGCATATGGATTTCCAGTTTTCCCAGCACCATTTGTTGAAGATGCTATCCTTCCTCCATTGCATGCTTTTAGACCCTTTATCAAATATAAGATAGTTGTAGTTTTGTGGATTGGTTTCTGTGTCCTCTATTCTGTACCATTGGTCCACCCGCCTGTTTTGGTACCAGTACCATGCTGTTTTTGTTGCTATTGCTCTGTAGTATAGTTTGACGTCTGGTATCGCTATACCGCCTGATTCACACTTCCTGCTTAGCATTGTTTTTGCTATTCTGGGTCTTTTATTTTTCCATATGAATTTCATAATTGCTTTATCAATTTCTACAAGAAATGCCGTTGGGATTTTGATTGGCATTGCATTAAACCTATAGAGAACTTTTGGTAATATCGCCATTTTGATGATGTTAGTTCTGCCTATCCATGAACAGGGTATATTTTTCCATCTTCTAAGATCTTCTTCTATTTCTCTCTTTAGGGTTCTGTAGTTTTCATTGTATAAGTCTTTCACCTCTTTTGTTAGGTTGATTCCCAAGTATTTTATTTTTTTTGAGGATATTGTGAATGGAGTGCTTGTCCTCATTTCCATTTCAGAGGATTTGTCGCTGATATACAGGAATGCCTTTGATTTATGCGTGTTGATTTGATATCCTGCCACTTTGCTGAATTCATTTATTAGCTCTAATAGTTTCTTTGTAGAACCTTTTGGGTCTGCTAGGTATAGAATCATGTCACCTGCAAATAGTGATAATTTAAGTTCTTCTTTTCCTATTTTTATGCCTTTAATTTCTTTCGTCTGTCTAATTGCTCTGGCCAGTGTTTCGAGAACTATGTTGAACAGAAGTGGTGAGAGAGGGCATCCCTGTCTTGTTCCAGATTTTAGAGGGAATGCCTTCAATTTTTCTCCATTCAGAATGATGCTAGCCTGAGGCTTAGCATAGATTGCTTTTACAATATTGAGGTATGTTCCTGTTATCCCTAGTTTTTCTAGAGTTTTGAACATAAAGGCTGTACTTTGTCGAATGCTTTTTCCGCATCTATCGAGATGATCATATGGTTCTTATTTTTAAGTCTATTGATGTGGTGAATAACATTTATTGATTTCCGTATATTGAACCAGCCTTGCGTCCCAGGGATGAATCCTACTTGATCATGGTGCACAATTTTTTTGATATGTTTTTGTATCCGATTCGCCAGAATTTTATTGAGGATTTTTGCATCTAGGTTCATTAGAGATATTGGTCTGTAGTTTTCTTTCTTTGAAGTGTCTTTGTCTGGTTTAGGAATCAGGGTGATGTTGGCCTCGTAGAATGAATTTGGAAGTTCTCCCTCTTTTTCTATTTCCTGAAATAGCTTGAAAAGTATTGGTATTAGTTCCTCTTTAAAGGTTTTGTAAAACTCTGCTGTATACCCATCCGGTCCTGGGCTTTTCTTAGTTGGTAGTCTTTTGATGGTTTCTTCTATTTCCTCAATTGATATTGGTCTGTTTAGGTTGTCTATATCCTCCTGACTCAATCTGGGCAGATCATATGACTTAAGACATTTATCGATGCCTTCACTATCTTCTATTTTATTGGAGTATAAGGATTCAAAATAATTTCTGATTATCTTCTGTATTTCTGAAGTGTCTGTTGTGATATTGCCTTTTTCATCCCGTATGCTAGTAATTTGAGTTCTCTCTCTTCTTCTCTTCG